GGTGGCCGGGAGCGGCCACTGCACTCCGGTCTGGGTGACAGAGTGAGACTCCAACGCAAAAAAAAAAAACAAATTTTGGCTGAGGCGGAAGGATCGCTGGAGCCCAGCAGGTCGAGGCTGTGGTGCCCGGGAGCGGCCACTGTACTCCAGTCTGGGTGACAGAGTGAGACTCCAACTCCAAAAAAAAAAATTTTTCTTACTGTTAGTTATAAATGTATAGAGAAATGCAAAAAAAAACCACATTGTACGTCAATGTACTAATACTTAGTACATTGTAATTTAAAACATTAGGAACAATAAGGGCTAAAATTTTATTTCTTTGTAAAAAACTTATCAAGAGTAGTTTTTGTTGTTGTTGTTTGTTGTTGTTGTCTTGAGTCAGAGTGTCATTCTGTCACCCAGGCTGAAGTGCAGTGGCACACTCACAAGTACTGCAGCCTCGACCTGCTCTGGGCTCAGCCATCACTCCTGGCTAATTTTTCTTGATTTATTGTAGAGATGAGGTCTCACCAAATTGCCCAGGCTAGTCTCAAACCCATGGCCTCAGGCAATCCTCTCACCTCAGTCTCCCAAAGTAGTGGGATTACAGGCATGAGGCACAATACCCGGCTATCAAGAGTAGTTTGAGCTTACCTTATCGTCATACAACTTGTGACACTGAACAAGAGTCTTCTCTATGCCTTGGCAAATCGTCGTACTCATTTCTAAGTTTGGATCCACTTCCAACATTTTATGCTTTGCCTTTTCAATGTCTGGAAAATATTTCTGAGAATACCATTAATGTGCTGGCATCACTTCCTCTGGGGCATTGCTATCCTTTTTTGCAGTAACTACTGTACTTTTTTCATTTAATAAATTGGTAACTTTGCCTCCACTAAGTTATTTTAGCTGCATATCTGCACACCCTCAAACAGCTTCAGTGTCAACCTTCTCACTTTCAGCTGTTTCTTCTGTAGCTCTATGTATGATTTATTAAGTTTCATTTGCAACATTGTCACTCTTTGTTTCTTTGCTGTACTTTCTTGTTTTAATCAACTTTTGTAAAACATCTCATGGATTTATCACTGGGAGACAAGAAGACAGCACAACTACATACTCTGCTGTCTGTGAGTGAGCTGTATAATAGATACATAGGGGCCACTGGCACGGTGGCTCAAACTTGTAATCTCAGCACTTTGGGAGGCCAAGGTGAGTGAATTACCTGAGCCCATGGGTTTGAGACCAGCCCGGTTAACATGATGAGACCTCATCTGTACAATAAATCAAAAAATCAGCCGGATGTGGTAGCGCATGCTTGTAATTCCGGCTACTTGGAAGGCTGAGGAGGAAGGATCGCCAGAGCCCAGTAGGTCGAGGCTGCGGTGCCCGGGAGCGGCTACTACACTCCAGTCTGGGCGACAGAGTGAGACTCCAACTCAAAAAAATAAAAATAAAATAAAATAAATAAAAACAAAAAAATGGGTCGAACACAGTGGCTCAGCCTGTAATCCCAGTACTTTGGGAGGCTGAGGCGAGAGGATTGTCTGAGCCCAAGGGTTCGAGAGCAGCCTGGGCAAATTGGTGAGACCTCGTCTCTACAATAAATCAAAAAATAAGCTGGGTGTGGTAGCCCGCCTATAGTTCCAGCTACGGAAGGTTGAGGCGGGAGGATTGCCTGAACCCAGCAGGTTGAGGCTGCAGGAGCTATGAACTCCAACTCAAAAAAAAAAAAAAAAAAAAAAGTCAAAAATTAAAAAATAAAAACAAAAAATTAAGAAGAAAGAAAAGAAAAGCCAAGTCCAGAATGATATGGACATCATGATGTCTCTTATATAACAAGAATATAAATAATAATATATGCTTATTGAAAAATATTTTTGTTATAAACTCCTAATTCATAATATTGATTACCTATATGGAGTAAGAGGAAATGCTTTTAACAATTTTCTGATTATAATTTCTTATATACCTATGTTTAATGAGATAGTATTTTATATGGAAACCTGAATATTTTTCATCACACAGTAATACCACCCATATAATAATAAAACTGTCATATTAACTGCTAATCTTTAAAATTTCTGCTTTTTTTTTTTTGAATTGGAGTCTCACTCGGTCGCCCAGACTGGAGTGCAGCGGCCACTCCCGGCCACCGCAGCCTCAACCTGCTGGGCTCCGGCGATCCTTCCTCCTCAGCCTTCCAAGTAGCCGGAATTATAGGCATGTGCTACCATGCCCGGCTGATTTTTTGATTTATGGTAGAGGTGAGGTCTCACTGCCCAGGTGGGTCTCGAACCCGGGGGCTCAGGCAGTTCACTCACCTCAGCCTCCCAAAGGCATGGGATTACAGGCTGAGCCACCGAGCCCGGCTCAAAAGCTTATTTTTAAGGGGATGGTTAAGGTACTCAATATTACTTCGTAAGTTAAAGCTTTAGGTTTTAAACCTGATTTGGGGTTGAGCTTTGGGAAGGAAAGAAAGATTGATTCATGGGTACCTTGAGACGGTTGTTTATGATCTAAGAAACAGACATATTCTAAGGCTCTCAAAATAAAGACAACACCAAGTATTGTGCTTATCTCTTAAAGTCGTGTTGTTTTCTGCAAGGTATTAAAAGATGAAAATAAGACTGAATAATATTCAAGTTTCATGAGTGTATGTGTATGATGCAAGAGAGTTTGGATTAACTACTCAGTATTATTCTTTTAAAATAAATTATGTACTTTTAGACTGACTTACCAGAATTGCTGAAATAAACACATACATACACTTCAGCTTAATCAGATACATGCTCAACTGTGAATGGATTAAGTCCATCATTGGCAATGCATTGGAGTCATTCAGAGACTTTCTCTTGCCATTGCAGGTAGAGCGGGAAAAGGCCATTCTCCTGGCCAATCTCCAGGAGTCGCAGACACAGCTGGAACACACCAAAGGGGCGCTGACAGAACAGCACGAGCGGGTGCACCGGCTCACGGAGCACGTCAATGCCATGCGGGGCCTGCAGAGCAGCAAGGAGCTCAAGGCTGAGCTGGATGGGGAGAAGGGCCGGGACTCGGGGGAGGAGGCCCATGACTACGAGGTGGACATCAATGGCTTGGAGATCCTTGAGTGCAAATACAGGGTGGCGGTCACAGAGGTGATTGATTTGAAAGCTGAGATTAAGGCCTTGAAGGAGAAATATAATAAATCTGTAGAAAATTATACTGACGAAAAGGCCAAATACGAGAGTAAGATCCAGATGTATGATGAGCAGGTGACGAGTCTGGAGAAGACCACCAAGGAGAGTGGCGAGAAGATGGCCCACATGGAGAAGGAGTTGCAAAAGATGACCGGCATAGCCAACGAGAATCACAATACCCTTAATACAGCCCAGGATGAGTTAGTGACATTTAGCGAGGAGTTAGCTCAGCTTTACCACCATGTGTGTCTGTGTAATAATGAAACTCCCAACAGGGTCATGCTGGACTACTATAGGCAAAGCAGGGTCACCCGCAGTGGCAGCCTGAAAGGGCCTGATGACCCCAGGGGACTTTTGTCTCCACGATTAGCCAGGCGAGGTGTGTCGCCCCCAGTAGAAACAAGGACCTCATCTGAACCAGTAGCAAAAGAGAACACAGAGGCCAGCAAAGAACCAAGTCCAACGAAGACCCCCACAGTCTCTCCTGTTATTACTGCCCCACCGTCATCGCCAGTACTGGATACGAGTGACATCCGCAAAGAGCCAATGAATATCTACAACCTTAATGCCATCATTCGGGACCAAATCAAGCACCTGCAGAAAGCTGTGGACCGGTCCTTGCAACTGTCTCGTCAAAGAGCAGCCGCACGGGAGCTGGCCCCCATGATTGATAAAGACAAGGAAGCCTTAATGGAAGAGATTCTCAAGCTAAAGTCTCTGCTGAGCACCAAACGGGAGCAGATCGCCACGTTGAGGGCAGTGTTGAAAGCAAACAAACAGGTAATCTCACCCTATTGATGAAAGCATGCTAGTTAGAGCTTCCTTGGTTGGTGCAAGAGAGAGAACCTGGGTCAGAGCTCAAGTGATAGGAAACTTTTCCTAATTGCAGACATGTCCTTCTTCTAGAATAAGTAGCAGAGCTACAACTGAATATTTGTAGCCTGAATATTTGTAGCTCTCCTTGATGACTGAATTTGTTTTCCACTCTTAAGTTTTACCTGGGTGGGAATGCCGTGAAATACAAGCAGGACAATACTTTTAACCTTCGTTTAGTTTATCTGAAAAGATAGCCTTGAAAGACACAGATTTGAGAATGGTGCTGAATAATTGTTGCTGTTGATAAGGAGAAGCAAAAAGGCATCGAATACCTTCTCGCAGTACAAGCAGTGCCAGTGCATAGAAGGGCACTGGAGCTTTTGCTCTTTGGAGAATGAGGGTTAATTTCAGATTGAGTGCCTTCTCCCTGTGCCCTAATCTGGGGAAAACCACACCATTATATGTCCTTTACAATGCAGCTTTCTAGTGATCTTTAGTTCTAGTCATCTTTAGCAACACTATACCATAAGCAATAATACTGTTTATACTATAAACATGCTTTATAAACCTATGAGCCAAGTAAGACATTATTTTATGTCAGCTCCTTAGGGAAGTAGAAAAGATTAGGGCCATGTGCAGTGGCTCATGCCTATAATCCCAGCACTTTGGGAGGCCAAGATGAGAGGGGATCGCTTGAGCCCAGGAGTTTGAGACTAGCCTGGGCAACATAGTGAGACCTCGTCTCTATAAAAAATAAAAGAATTAGCTGGGAGTGGTAGCATGTGTCTGTAGTCCCAGCTACTCAGGAGACTAAGGCGAAAGAATTGAGCACAGGAGGTCGAGGCTGCAGTGAGCCATGATCATACCACTATCCTCCAGCCTGGATAGAGGAGATAGATGGAAAGATAGAGGAGATAGATAGATAGATAGATAGATAGATAGATAGATAGATAGATAGATAGATAGAGTGAGATAGATAGGAAGGAAGGAAAGAAAAGATTAGGGTGAATGAAGAATTTGTGAGCGATCTGATTCCAATTTGAGGTCAGAATAAAGGAATTTATTACCTCTGCTATAATTGGAAGATCCAATGATTCAGAGTGGTCATAAATAACCAATACATATTAGATAAGGCTTACACATTCTTTATCAATGACATCATATTCTGGGGTATTCTTGGTCAAGCCAATCAGATAACTTCTCTAACTTCTTTCTGATGGTTGAATATTAACAACCTAAAAAACTAGATCCATGAAAATGTCAAGATGCTTAACTGAAATAGATATAGACAAGGAAGGCTGATCAACCAAGAGAGACTAATGTATGTACACACCCTCACTGATTACATATTTCCTGGGAGGCAGTTAGTAGGAATGCCAAAATAAGTGACTAGTAATCTAGAAAGAATTCAACGTATGCCTGTAACTATTTACAGGACAGGACATATAAAGCACTTTAGAGTGGCACAGATGGTGGTATAAACAATTCAGGGCAGAGCAAAGCATCCCTAGCTGAAGTTTTATTTTCACAGTTCTTTGTGGTACAGGTTGAGTAACTCTTATCCAAAATGCTTGGGACCAGAAATGTTTCAGATTTCGGATTTTTTTTTTCTTCAGATTTTGGAATATTTACATATACGTAATGAGATATCTTGGGGATAGGATATCTAATTTTGTCTAAGCACAAAACATTGATGTCTCATATGTATCTCTATACATACCCTGAAGGTAATTTTATACAACATTTTTAATAATTCTGTGCCCAAATCGAAGTGTTGACTGCAACTTATTACATGGAGTCAGGTGTGGAATTTTCCACTTGTGTCAGCGCTGCAAAAGTTTCAAATTTTGGAGCACTTCGGATTTCAGATTTTTGGATTAGGGATGTTCAACCTGTACCATTTACATTACATTAGAGTCACAGCCCCTGTGGGCTCAGTAAACTAAATGTAAACACATTTCTGGCCATGCAGTTAGTATATATTTTAATGATGTTGGGCCCACTGCCGTATTGCTTATGTATCATAGATAACTTCAAGTATCAACAGGTAACACCTATATTTAGACATTGTGGAATGTTCATTATTAAGACCAGGGTGAGAAGTGTGCTATCAGGGGGGTAAAAAGGGATTCTCCCTATTTCAAAATAGGCATTCTATAGTCTCTGTGAATCTTTTAATATACCATAGGCACAGTGCCTTCTCTTGAAGTAAGAAAATGCTTACGAAGCACCATCTACATACTAAGCTGTGATAGATGTGGAAGATTCAAGGAAGACTAATAATCCATGGCCCCTGCCTTGCTGAAGAAGACTCACAGCCTACTGGGCATACCAGAATCCAAACAGATCATTACACTTTGACGTTATCCATGCTGTAATCCAAGTTCTGGGAATGTTGCCGAGGAAGCAACCAACGCTTCCTAGAGGAGAAAAGACTTCACAGAAGCACTTATGCTTGAGTTTGTTCTCAAAGGATAAGGACTTGTTTTTCAGAGGAAGAGGAAAGAATTCTAGACAGTGAGAGGAGTAGGTAGAGAGGCATAGGAGTAACAACATAGAATGATACATTCAAGGAATGCTCGGGAAGGTCTCTGTAGGTGGAAATAATATTTTTTTTATTTAGGAAGTCAACTTTGGAGTATGTGGAGACTGCGGTGAATGCAGACATAGAAAATCTACTAGTGAGTTATCGTTACTTAAAATTGCTTATTCTGGAAAAGATTTGCACAGTCTGTGGACAAAGCTGAGTCTTTGGGGGCATTTCTCCCAAATAGTAATGAGTTTGTAGTTCTGTTTCAGATCTAGCTCTTCCATTATTCTCCTCTGTTCCCCTCCTTAGATACTGACCATGCAACTCTTATTTGCTTACAAATGTGTTACCTCTTCACTTTTATAACTTAAACTTAATCATCAGCTTTAAATGAATGTTTGTCTAAACCTTTTAAAAACTAAACAACTGCCATCTTTCCCCAGGTCAATTTCTGCATTCTGGATAATTTTCTGAATCTGTAATGTTTCTGAAGATTCCACCGAGTATTAACACAACAGAACATACAGAAGTATTATATGAGTAACTTCTCGTGTTAATCTGAACTTAAATTCAATCAAAACGAATAAGAAACTACTTGGAATCAAAACATTCACAAACTACTTTGGAATCAAAACGTTCACAAACTACCCCATGCCAACATTGGTTTAAGTGAAAAATAATCCATCTATCTCTACAGAAGTTGGCATTTTGCATATGAAAGTGGAAGCTGCCCATTTCAAGCACAAAAAGAAATGTTAAAAACTGTGGTAGTCTTCCTGTGAAATTCCATTAGTAATTGAGTTCTTTACTGATAATGGCCTTTTTCATTAGTAGTGGATATTTTTATGCACTCTGAAAAGCTGTTGCTTACAGTTTGTAAAAATAATGTACAAATAGTTTGGCTTCAATATGTACACCATGCGCTATGCATCCAACAGACAGTGCCTAAATGTATGCTGATTTTTTCATATAATTTTTTTATTATCCCAATTTTATAGACAAATACACACTGATTTTAGGCACTGATTCTATCAATGTGTTTTTTACTTCCTCCTGTGTGCCAAACTGGTTTTTGATTTGAATCACTATTAATTCCAAGACATGCCCAAATCCCAAATTAAACAGAGAGATTTTTTTTTTTTTTTTTTGAGTTGGAGTCTCACTCTGTCACCTATGCTAGAGTACAGTGGCACACTCACTCACCCTGCTGGGCTCCAGAGATCCTTCCATTTCAACCTTCCAAGTAGCCAGAACTACAGGCACATGCTACCATGCCCGGCTAATTTTTAAAATTTATTTACTGTAGAGATGTGGTCTTGCCAAGTTGCACAGACTGGTCGAAACCCACAGGCTCAGGCAACCCACTCACCTCAGCCTCCCAGAGTGCTGGGTTTACAGGCTGAGCCACCAAGCCTGGCCCAAACAAATATTTTAACTCATTCTACATTTTGGAATCTCTGCATTTATGAAAATTTCAAAGAATTAAATATAATTTGTTGATTTGAACAAATTGTATACAAAGACCCAGAAAGTGATTACTTCTTTGTTACTTCTTTTTCGTGAATATACAATAACATTGATGTATAGTTTATCATATACTCATGTTATAAATGACAATGGTCTATGTTTTTTAGTCTGTGTTTCAGGCCCACAGAGCACAGCTATTCCAATGTGAAGCTGTTCTTCTTTACTGATCTCTTGATAAAATTGTTGTATAGTTTCATTTTGGCTTTCTCCTTATGTTCAGATATCACACCTTCAACAATCTGCGCTGAATATTTATTAAACTACATTCATTTCCTTTACTCCTGATACTGATTGGCTCACAGCTGGCTGCTAGGACAGTTTAACCACATTATGGGACGGGCTCAGTGGCTCAGCCTGTTATCCCAGCACTTTGAGAGGCTGAGGCGAGTGGATGGCCTGAGCCCACGGGTTCGAGACCCGCCCGGGCAACTTGGCGAGACCTCGTCTCTACAATAAATCAAAAATGAGCCAGGCACGGTAGCGCACGCTTGTAGTTCCAGCTACTCGGAAGGCTGAGGCGGAAGGGTCGCCGGAGCCCAACCGGTCGAGGCTGTGGTGGCCGGGAGCGGCCACTGCACTCTAGTCTGGGTGACAGAGTGAGACTCTAACTCAAAAAATAAAAATAAAAAAAATAAAAAATAACCACGTTATGGATTCACAACACATTTTGACATTAAAGAGAAACTTCACTATGTCTAAAGTAGGTACATTACAGATGCTTATATAAAATACAATCAATTTTATTTCCCATTTATGAAAGAACATAATAGACCCAGCATGAAGAAACCTATACAGTAGTTTTCCTGATATGAAAATTGTAAGCAGTGTGATTTTCTGCCTTAGACAGCTGAGGTGGCGCTAGCTAATCTCAAGAACAAATACGAAAATGAAAAGGCAATGGTGACGGAAACCATGACGAAGCTGAGAAACGAACTGAAGGCTTTGAAGGAAGATGCGGCAACTTTCTCATCCTTGAGAGCGATGTTTGCAACAAGGTAATTTTTATGCTCCGTAAGACGGGGTACAGTGTGTGGGGAAAAGACTAAAATTTATAATTGTGTCCGCACATCTTGAGTGTATTTGTGTGTCGTCTAGGATGCCAAAGTGTGAAGAAAATGTGTGAAATTCCACTCTAATAAATTTAAAGACTCCTGTGCTGTTTTCCAGAGCCCTCTACTGGACATGCAGGATCCAGCAATGCTATAATAGTTTAAAAATTTAAATTAATATAATAAATTATTTCTAGAGTGTAGTCCCAAACAGAATTAGACCCTTCCCAAAAAAGCTCTCAGGAAGGTAAAAATCCTACTTCCTAAAATGACTAAACATTATATGATCACTGCTGAAATATATTTATGTGATGAAAGTACATAAAGGTATATATAAAAGTGCTTATCATAAATATTGAGAGACTATAGCTTTATTTTATTTTATTTTATTTTGACTTGGAGTCTCACTCTGTCGCCCAGACTGGAGTGCAGTGGCCGCTCCCGGTCACCGCAGCCTCGACCTGCTGGGCTCCGGCGATCCTTCCGCCTCAGCCTTCCGAGTACTGGAACTACAGGCACGCGCTACCACACCCGGCTGATTTTTTGATTTATTGTAGAGATGAGGTCTCGCCAAGTTGCCCAGGCAGGTCTCGAACCCGCGGGCTCAAGCAATCCACTCACCTCAGCCTCCCAAAGTACTGGGATTACAGGCTGAGCCACCGAGTCTGGCTGAATTAAAGTATAATTTCTAAATGTAATTATATATCACCAAATTTTTCACATCACCCAACTAATTATACAAATATTAGTTTCTACCTCTCCTCCACCAGTTTTATTATGAGATTCCATTGTATTTTGTTTTATTTTTATTTATTTATTTATTATTTTGAGTTGGAGTCTCACTCTGTCACCCAGACTGGAGTGCAGTGGCCGCTCCCAGCCACCGCAGCCTCGACCTGCTGGGCTCCGGCGATCCTTCCGCCTCAGCCTTCCGAGTAGCTGGAATTACAGGCATGCGCTACCACGCCCGGCTGATTTTTTGATTTATTGTAGAGCTGCGGTCTCGCTGCCCAGGCGGGTCTCGAACCCGCAGGCTCAGGCAATCCACTCACCTCAGCCTCCCAAAGGCGTGGGATTACAGGCTGAGCCACTGAGCCCGGCTTGTATTTTGTTTTTAAATGTGAAGTAATTGTTAAGAATGTATTGATTTGAGGGTTTCGCAATCCTGAGATTTTCAATATATTGCTGACTTTTTTTTTTTTTGCTGTCACAATTTGGTGCCAAACAAACATATCCACCAACTATATATCTTGTAGGATGCAAAATTCACAAATAATAACCAAGTCCTTATTTTCAGATTTAGTAAATAATTTACATATAGTTGATATAAGTGTTTTTTAAAAAAAATCTCGGGCTTTATAGTAATCACCAGAATTTGTCCAACTTTCTTTGTATGTTAGGAGGGAAAAGGCTCGAATTCATGCTTTGGGATTGAATCACTTGGAAATGGCAGTGAGAAGACTCAGTGTTTGAGGTCCCACAGGGGTCCAGGAAGACTGAAGGGAATTGGCTCCTGGGTCTCAGAGCACGGTGGTGTTTGGGGAATAGAATGTATTTACCTTGGGCTACTATGGGGTGCAGGATAGAGAATGAGAATGGGACACACTGGCACAGTGTCCTCCTCTTTGGTGAAAAATATCAGGATTGCATTTAGAATCAAGAAAACATAAATTTTGTCTTTGAGAAAGGAATAAAAAATAATTTTTTTTTGAGTTGAAGTCTCCATCGCCCAGGACAGAGTGCAGTGGCATGCTTATGGTCACCACAGCCTCTGCCTGCTGGGCCCAGGTGATCCTTCCATCTCAGCCTTCCAAATAACTGGAACTACAGGCATGCGCCACCACGCCCAGCTAGTTTTTTGATTTATTGTAGAGATGAGGTCTCATCTAGTTGCCCAGGCTGATCTCAAACCCGTGGGCTTAGGCAATCCTTTCACCTTGACCTCCCAGGGTGCTGGGATTATAGGCGTGAGCCACCGCACCCAGCAAAAAATAAATTTAAAGAGACATTTAAAATCTCAATCTGGTTCATATAAAAATGTTTACCCCCAAATAGTCACTTTTCACAGACGTTTGCTTTTCCAGGTATAGAACTGCCTTACTTCATAGTGTTTACAAAATATTCTCATCTGATCAATTAGGATAAATTTGGGATCCTGAAATACATGTTGTATTTTACCGAGTTCTGATTTTTTTTTTTTCATGATCTACACATCACCACTATGTTTCTTTTTCTTTTTCTTTTTAGTCAGGGTCTTACTCTGACACTCAGGCTAGATTGCAGTGGCACAATCACGGCTCACTGCAGCGTCAACCTCCTGGGCTCAAGCTACCATGCCCAGCTAATTTTGTTGCCTAGACTGGTTTCAAACTCCTGAGCTCAATAAATTTTCTTGCTTTGGCCTCCCAAATTACTGGGATTATAGGCATGAGCCACTGCGCCCTGCTTCACGATGCTTCTTGACATTCAGGGTTAAAGAAAAGGGAGATACCACTTGGCTTTCAAGTTCTTCCACTACAAAGCCTGTTTTTGTTTTAAAACGCCCCAGACTTGCACTGTTTTCACAGTTTGTGCAATACATTTTGGATAACTCTATGAAGTTGAGGACCAAACTCTGACTTTTTTTTTTTTTTTTTTTAAACTCAGAGGCTTGGGAAGTCACACCTGATAAAGCCTCACCAGGAGGAGTTTATTACCCTATATACTGAAGTTTGTCTTCCAACCTGACTCTGGCATAAATCACACAAGAGATAAAGAAGAAAATCAAAGTACTTTATGACCCTTCAAAGTCTCTCCCTGGACACTTTGTCTTCTACTGATTTCCAAAATTCCTTAGATAGGAACTAAAACTTGCCAGCCAAGAAACCTTAAATCCACCTATAACCTGCAAGCCCTCTCTTGGAAATGTCCCTCCTTACTGGGATGAATCAATGAAAATCCCACGTGGATTGATTTATGGCTCTTGTAACGTTTCATTCCTAAAATGTATGTAACCAAACTGCAATTCAGCCACCCCAGACACACACTCTCAAGGCTGTGTCCTGGGCCTAGCCACTTATGGTTGGCTCAGAAGAAACCTCAGAATATTTTGGCTGAACTTGGAATTGTTGCTTCAACAAAGTCATTATCTGCTGGTGTATTGACAATATATGTTCTTAATATTTTAGTGGGTAACAAAACTCAGAATGAGCCTTCTTCCATCCCACTTCTTCCTTCCAAATGTATATGTGCTCAGGTTCCTTTGATGAGGAAAAAATGATCACCGATCTTATCTTCCTGCTGCAGCACAAATATGAAACCTGAATGAAGATGTTTTTGACAGCTTGCTAAATCGATCTCAACCCCTGTGCAAATATTGGTTTTCTTTGACAACGTACTGCTTTCTCATCCGGTTGAGAAATCATTGAAAATATGCAGTTTTCTAATTCAGGCAAATCTACCATATTGACAGCAGTGGCAGCTGCAATCTGTACTAAATTAAACTAAAACCTATAAATATAGATAAGGAAGTGTTTTCTTTACGAGCGTTGTTAGTCTTTTGGATGCTATAGGTATAGCCTATAACAAATTTGTCACATTCTTCCAAAGGATACAATGTTATACAGTAAAAAAAAAAAAGCCATTGTAACACATCTCAGGTACGATGGGCTTATATAAGACTTGACTGTCATTTTGCTACCATAGAGCAGTCTCATGATAACTCTGTCCTAGGGGTTTATGATGTTGCCTACAGGCTGGGTGCAGTGTCTCATACCTGTAATCCCAGCACTTTGGGAGGCTGAGGCAGAAGGACTGCCTGAGTGCAGGAGTTCGAGACCAGCCTGAGTGCAGGAGTTCGAGACCAGCCTAGGCAACATAACCACACCTCGTCTGTCCGAAAGAATTAAAAAATTAGCCAGGTGTGATAGTGTGCACCTGAAGTTCCAGCTACTTGGGAGGCTCAGAAAGGAGGAGTTTGAGGCTATGGTGAGCCATGATCATGCCACTATACTCCAGCCTGGGCAACAGAATTGAGACTCTGACTCAAAAAAAAAAAAGATGGTGCCTATTAAGAGTGTCCCCCATATGCACTTCATTGTATGGATGAGCCACAGTTATCAAACTGTTCTGCTGTTTCCAGTGATCTACTGTTATAGGCTGTCTCTATTCTATGTTCCAAATATCTAAGTTCCAGTGAAACTTACTACTTGTCAATTTAAGTCCCAAATTTGGTCTCATCGAGTTTTTTCCCCTCACCATGTCTCTGTTTTGGTTCCAGATGTGATGAGTATGTCACACAGTTGGATGAGATGCAGAGACAGTTAGCAGCCGCAGAGGACGAGAAGAAGACTCTAAATACTTTGTTACGCATGGCTATCCAGCAAAAACTCGCCCTGACCCAGCGGCTGGAGGACTTAGAGTTTGACCATGAGCAGTCCCGACGCAGCAAAGGCAAACTTGGGAAGAGCAAGATCGGCAGCCCTAAAGTAAGTGGGGAGGCATCAGTCACCGTGCCCACCATAGACACTTACCTCCTGCATAGTCAGGGCCCACAGATACCCACCATTCGGGTCAGCAGTGGCACTCAGAGGAAAAGGTATGCATGCAGCAATCTTCATAGTATGGTGCAGTGGCCAGATTTTAGTTAACTGCAAAGATGAATGTGCTCTTGTGGTGGAGGTTGGAGGTGGGGAAGAAAAACGAAAAATGGGAACTGGTATAACTGGTATATAAATGGGCTTGCTGATGTGGGTCTTTTCAGATCAAAACCTTTTGATAATTTTGTTTATATAGTCCTTTCTATCCTACTTACCCAACCCTTTCTCTTGATTAATCATAATATAATTTTCAAGTGTCTGTTAATATTTTTGCTACTCCTTGTATGCATGGATATGCCTCTCCTTTACCTCCAGCCTAAAAATTGGTAGATAAAGGTGGATATTAAGAATAAAGCTGGGAGCTGGGCTCAGTGGCTCAGCCTGTAATCCCGCGCCTTTGGGAGGCTGAGGTGAGTGGATTGCTGAGCCCGCGGGTTCGAGACCCGCCTGGGCAGCGAGACCTCATCTCTACAATAAATCAAAAAATCAGCCGGGTGTGGTAGCGCATGCCTGTAATTCCGGCTACTCGGAAGGCTGAGGTGGAAGGATCGCCGGAGCCCAGCAGGTCGAGGCTGTGGTGGCTGGGAGCGGCCACTGCACTACGGTCTGGGCAGCAGAGTGAGACTCCAACTCAAAAAAAAAAAAAAGAAGAAAGCTGGGGGTCAGGAGTGGTGGCTCACGCCTGTAATACCAATGCTTTGAGAGGCCAGGGTGGAAGGATTGCTTGGGCCCAGGAGTTCAAGACCAACCTGGGCAATATAGCAAGACCACATCTCTAAAAAAACCAATCAAAGTAAAAACCATACAGATTAGCCGGGTGTGGTGGCACACACCTGTAGTCCCAATTTCTTGGAAGGCTGAGATGGGAGGATCGCTTGAACCCAGAAGTTTGAGACTGCAGTGAGCTATGACCACACCACTGCACTCCAACTTGGGTGACAGAGTGAGACCCCATCTCAAGAAAACAAAACAAAAACAAACTAAAACAATGAATGAAGCTGTGTTCTACATTGATCATAATTTTAAAAGTCATTGTACCTCTAGAAATGTGCTATTTACCAGCTTCTCTTTAACGGGACCGGGATATGAGTATGTTCTCTTAAGGGAACTATTGTTCACGTGACCAAAACTGATTGACTGAAAGAGGAGGTCGCTATTTAGATCAAATGGAATATGTCTAGCCCTTTTCTTAAAAGCAGGTTGTTGTGCTTTTTCATTTGGCATGTGAATATTGCTTAGAGAAACCATTTGTAAGGTATTTAGTGGCTTGATTTTGTAATATTTTTCTAAAGTTCTGGCTATTGAATTACTTACTCTACATTTTCAGTTATTGACAAAAATTTTTATTTTAGGTGCTTTCGTTGAAGAGTCCAATAAGACATATATTTTCTATTTGTGGGTCAAACCTACTAACTGTAATACATCTCTTTTTCAGTATCCAAAACAGTTTCCAAATAGGGTTGTACCCTGATGTGGAAACTAAAAAAAATAGCAAAAATCTTTATTTACATATTTAAAACATTAAATGCCGATTTAACGAATGTTGTCACTGGTGAGGCATTGAAAGGTAATTAAAGTAAAACTTTTTTGTTTCCTATATGTATTTTTCTTGGATCTCCTGCAAGACAATTTTCACCTTCCCTTTGTGATCAGAGCCGTCCCAGGACTTCAGGGGCTTCCTATCTACAGAATTTATTAAGAGTTCCCCCTGATCCCACCTCCACAGAATCATTTCTTCTGAAGGGCCCCCCTTCCATGAGTGAATTCATCCAAGGGCACCGGCTCAGCAAGGAAAAAAGGTTAACCGTGGCTCCACCAGGTAAACATTTTTTCCTTGGGTGCATGTGATGCAAGTGATCAGTTGAACAGCCTCTCCCCTTCCTTCCAGCCTCAGGCCCACCCATCTGCCGAGACTAGCGCTGATGATATGTCAGTTCCTGCAAAGAAAGTAAAAACACCTTCACACTGAGCTTCCTGTGTCCTTGCTACTCACAGCCCGACGCCATTCCCCTGAAGTCTCCAGGACTTCCTTTTCACAGCCAAGGATGGAGAAAGAGAGTTGGAAGGAACGGGATAGGTCAAGGGAACCTGGCAGTAGGCCACAGTGCAAGTCACACACCTGGATCCCATTTGCAATTTGGTAGCTCCTGGCGCCGCCATCTTGGTCGGATGTTGGCGTTTCTCTCTCATCATTTTCAATGCAATCTCAGTAAAAGGAGCCCTATTTATAACAATGCTTTGGGGCTAATTTCCTTTTGTAGTGACTCAGAATGTCTCCTCAATCACTATACAGAAAAATAAAAGTAAAACCCCCTAAGATCTTGCTCCTCAGGAACATTTAGGTGTTAGTGTACTGTTCTTGTGATTTGCAAGCCCTCATTGGTTTGTGCTTACAGACATGCCCTCAATTTACCTTAGCTTCATTGTTTTACTCCTTCCTTCCTTCCCTCCTTCCTTCCTTCCTTCTTTCCTTACTTTTCTTTACCTACAAAGAGGCCTAAATGGAAAATATGACTTCTGACAAATAACAGTCATCCTTTAAAGGAATCCCTGCATGTAAAGTAGGTCAGAAGTGGCCAAATAGGGAGGCCATAAAATAGGCCGAAGAGCAGCTATTAATTCACTATCACAGGGAACAAAAAATTAAAACTAATTCAAGTTAGTTGTCAACCATTAAAAACTCAGAGATGTCACATGAACATCTGCATTCCTGGCCTGTTTTGAGAGATTCCGAATATCTGGCGGCCCTGGGTCTGCATTCATGCATGTCACCACTTGTTGGAGCTATGTGGTTGTTGCTGCTGTTAGAGCAAGCTTTGCACTTTGCCACATTCTCCACCACTCCCTATTACTGATATCCAGTCTGCTATATTCATTTCTTTTCTCTTCTAGTCCCTACTGTATAGCTTTTGAGTTTGCCACCTTTGCTGTAGAATTTTTCTTTAATTTATTTGGATTTTACCTTAATTCCTTTTGGGAAACCTCAGCCTTTGGATTTCTAATACTTTCCTTAACTGATTCTTGTAATCAGCCGACTAATTGGGATTAAAAGATGTGGTGCAGAAATTTACATCACATGTTCAAGATTCTAAGAGTGTTTGAGAAAATTGGTAGTGGTAATGAGTTGGAATGGCATAATAGTTAAAATGCCCACCTTAAAAAAAAGTAACAAACTGCTTGGTGTTTTTACTTTCATAACTCATTTCCTATTGTTTTAGACCTCCTTGGAAGGTACCTTGAAGTATTCTGTGAATCACCAAAGTGGTAATGATTTATCAGGATACCTTACTTCGATAAACCTTATTTGTAGTGTTCCAAATACATTAAGCAACACTGGAACTTAGAAAGGAAATTGGTATGATTAATAAATAACTCCTACTGCATTTTAATTTTAACAGTGACATATCCATAAGATTAAAAATGAATACTAAATTCTGTTGAAAATAACTATTTTCATTTTTGTATGACTGGTTCTTGTTTACATGAATATTTTATGTCGTGGTCATGACTTCATCGAAGCAGTTAACATTATATCACAAATTTTTCCGTGTTGCTACCTAGTCTTGTTTTGATTTTTAAAGGTTTTTGGATCATAGATTATATTTTAGATGCTGTTATCACATTCATCACTATTTCTCTTGTTGTCTACTGAGGTAGTTGTTCATTATCTGTTATATTGTAGAATGCTGCTCATGTATTCAGTGTCTCATCTGTTGTTTTTTTTCCCCCAAATATGAGATCACCGGGTTAAAAGTTGAACATGTTTATGTTTTTTCTGCTCCATTTTAATGTTGCTATCAAAAAGGGTATATCAATGTACTGAGAGCCCCGCAAAACACTTTCCCATTTTCACTCATTCTGAATCTACTCCTTTCTACACACTCAACCATCTTGCAACTTGACAGCTGGTTAGCACACATGGATGAGTGTACCAGCATGTTGTTTTAAACTCTTTAGTTTCTGCTGGGCGCAGTAGCTCATGCCTGGAATCCCAGCACATTGGGAGACTACGATGAGAGGATTGCTGGAGCCCAGGAGTTCGAGACCAGCCTGGGCAACATAACGAGACTTCATCTCTACAAAAAAAAAATCAAAAAATTAGCAAGGCATGAAAAGGAGGCAGAAGCCCAGGAGGTCGAGGCTGTGGTGAACCATGATTGTGCCACTGCATTCCAGTCTGGGTGACAGAGTGAGACCCCGACTCAAAAAACAAAAAACTCTTTAGTTTCAAATAACCAGAAAATATCATTGATCTTAGAAATGATTACTATATTTGAGATTAGAGATATAAGGAATGTGGAATCCAGAATCATCACTAGGCCAGAAGATCACTTTAATGAGAACTTAGCATATTGATAACCTTTATAATTTTCACCATTTATTTAATGTTAAAATAATACAAGTGGAAAGGAAGTAAAGCTGTTATTTCAACCTGAGGAATTTGAAGTTATATGTTATGGAACCAACCAGATGAATCCTTAATAAATTCTTATCAGATCAATCTTAGCAACATTTTCTAAAAGGTCCTGGTTGAATGAATTACTATAGAAAGTGACAGAGCACCCACACCAAATAAACTTTAGCTTCTAAAAACATCTGCATTGTTGTCAAGATATATTATTTTCCCTTGACTGAACTATGTAAAGTCATATTAAACATTATTTATGATGTTTTTACTATATAAAATGCTTTCATTAAGCTAAGAAAGGCAAAATAATACCATATATAACCAGTCCTATGTTCTAGACAAGAAATATCTTAAATTCATGGAAAATGGTAAATTTTATGAGTATTTCATATTCATGAGTTTAATATGTTATTGACTATTATAAAATTTGTTAGCTAGTCACAATACATATAAGTCATTTTTAAATCACTGCTAATTTATTGGAATGTTTTAAATAAGCATTGTTTCTAAAATACATTTTTAATATATCTTTTTAGATGATTTTAATTATTCTAATAAGCAAATGGGGCTTTATTTTTCTGTTGAGGATCATTGAAGTAATTATATAAATTAAAAATGAAATTAGCTTAATTTGTGGTTTTTTTAATCCTTTGGTTGAAGAATTGAGAGTGATACAAATCTCGCTTAAAAATTTAAGGCATAGAACATCTAATGTTATTTACCATATATAAGAGACACTGTCAAATAGATTTAATTTCTGTGACACAATGAGCAGAAAACCTTGTCTTCTTAAAAACACAATTTCTCAATTCTGGAGAATCAGCTCTAGGGTAGAGCATTGATTTTCAACATTGGTAAAATGTTTTCTACTGATCGATTAGTACATTGTATTGATTAATTTGCTACATTAGTACAACTTTTTGGGAAAAAATGTTGGCCTTTGCCTTAGCTTCTGCTACCTCAGTCCCTAAAATTCCAGAGTTTCTGGCTGTGGCCTGTTGACTTTCTTGTTCCTGACTCTATCCTTATCCTGATACTCAACCTCCAGTGTCTTTCCACATGTTCATCTTAGTTTTTGCAGTGTCATTTACCAGCTAATCTGAGAAATGCCTACCAGCTTGGATGAACTCAAATCAAAGAGGACCCTGTAGTCATCGAATTTGTAATCAGGTAGCAGAGTGCGTCTTCATAACATTTTTGGGTATTTTGTAGCCAACATTTTATCTTCATGCCTTAACTGTCTAGGCTGTGATCATCATCGTCTTCATCGTCATCATCCTCATCATCATTTTGCCACTTCATCAGTAATTAAACCGGGCATGGTGGCGTATGCCTGTAATCCCAGCACTTTGGGAGGCCAGGGCAGGAGGCTCCCTTGAGCCCAGGCATTAGAGACCAGCCCAGGCAACATAACGAGTCCTTATTTCTACACATAATTTTAAAAAATTAGCTGAGCATGGTAGTGTGCACTTATAGTCCCACACTGGCTAAGGGAGAAGGATCACCTGAGCCCAAGAGATTGAGGCTACAGTGAGTCATGATCTTACCACTGCACACTAGCCTGGGCAACAGAATGAGACCCTGACTCCAAAAAAAAAAAAATCAGTAATTCAAATTGGTCTAACCAGAATATGTAAAAGGAATCCATGTAAGTCACAGGCAAGAGATGTTATATCTGTAGTAAAGACCTGATTGCAGCATTTGTACAAGATAGAGAAGAAATAGTAAACTTGAAAAAGCAGTTCGACGCTCTTCTGGAAGGACTACCTAAGTAGTTTGCTCCTTACCTTGTGTTTTCCTTGAAGGAGCTTCCCCCTTGGACATTTTGCTTCTCCATCTCAATCATCTCCCTCCCTTTCTTCCTCTTTCCTTCTCTCTATCCCTCCCTCTCTTTCTCCAACACCGTGACTGAACTATTATAAGAAAATGATGTTGTTTTGAAATCTGAAAGTTTTTCTGAGATATATTAGATGTTACCGATTTTTAAAGCGGCTTACAGAAATGTGTTAACCTTAGATATGTAATCACTCCTTTAAATACTAGTGAACAATATACACAAACATGTTCATAGTAAAAATTGCCTTTACATTTCACTGCATTCAAATGAGTAGATATTCATTCATCTGTTTATTGCATTGCAAAGCCAATATTCTTAAGCATGTACTAGAATCACATTTTTTCACATTTATTCACTCATTCATCAAAATTTAACAACATTTAGTGAGCACCTACTATGCGCCAGGCACTTTTCTTGGCTCTTGGTATACAGTGATAATCAAATAGACTCATAGTCTGGTAGACAAATAAGTAATCATGTTGACAGAATAAAGAAAGGAGTTAGGGTAGGAACATCCATCCAGAAGAAAGAGGAGGCTATCCATGAAAGGTAACAAGACCTTAATAGGTAGAGC